TTTGTATTAACACGAAATTGATAGTTATAATGACCCCCTATTAACGATTAATTTGTTTGTTAGCGCACGATTGGGATTATATCTTACAGAATCTGCATTAAGATCGGAAATATTTCATCGAAGAATTCATTTTTTCTCCAAATGAAATGACATTGAGAGTAGCTTTTCAATGACACTCAACAGGCAGAAAAGGTGTACTTTCTTTGCCTAGACAGACAAAGATTGTTGCTATGCAACGTTCCAAGTAATTATTCGTGAAATTGGAACGAATTTGAAGAAAAAAATTGTTTCGCATAACAGAGAAGCAGATGTAATGCCTTGGCCATCATTTTGTGTTCACCCAATGTCAGTGTCAATTTTGATTACAAACAAACTTTTTCTGCCTAGGGAGAGGAAGTACTCCTTTGCTTTCATTAAGTGTCATAGAAAAGCCACTTTCTATGCCGCTTGGATAAAAATAACTGTTCCATGATAATTGATAATTTTGGCAAATATGTTGAATGTCACTAATGTCAGTTGATTTTCATGGCTATACTGGAAGTTGTTGTAGTTTCCGGATGAAAAAGATGAACCAAATTTTTGTTAGCACCTTGTGAAATTAGACTCGTTGGTATTAACTAAACGTGTTTATTCATCGACCGTTCTCTTGATACTAATTCACAAACGATATCTTTATCATGAGTAATTCCCAAAAAACCGTTGTATCCCAACTCATTGTTATAACTTATATAATAAAACCCGTCACCACAAATTCTTAAGCTATACGTAGGTAGATACATTTTACAGGGTTGATCATCATCATTTTCATCATTGCAGGAGAAATTTAGGTAGTCGAAGTCCACGGAATAATGTTGTAACCTACACGTATATTAATTAACAATCAGTAATTTCGAACATTAACACATTGCGTGCCAAGCTATATGATCGGAAGACTCACGCCAGGGGCTATATTTGATGCATTCAGTACCAGAATAATTTTTGTACGAACAAATTAGTGTTTTTGTTCCATTTTTAGTAAGTCCCCCCCCCTCATTTTTGATGTCTCTCATTTATGAAAGACGTCTCCATGCAAGAAAAAATCGTAGGTTTTGGGGTTGTAGTCACGTCTTTCAAATTTGAAAGACGCTTGATTTCTTCTTGTTGCTGGTCCTCAGTTCGAAAACTAAACGTACCTACTTAGTTAGAGATGTTTAGAGTGTCCTGAGCGACCACAAATGTGTTCATCGTGGTTCAATGAAAAAGATTGATTTTTTTCAATGGAAATCACGGATTAGGTATTATTTTCTGAAATAGGAAAGCTTTTTTATTTTTGTAATAGTTCGATAAAAAATATCAGAACATTTTATTTTCCACTTATGATGGTTAATCTGAGAAACTGTATAATGTACTTCCAAATCTTCATAATTCCAATTTTCCTCAAACCAAAATTCACAATATTTTCCCTAGAGCCCACACGCAAGAGATTCCTCATTTGAAGTGCACGGCAGCGTCTTTCAGTTTTGATATACATGGTCAGAAAGTGAAAGATGTCATGTTAATATGAAGAAAAAGTCTTATTTTGATCCCAACAATACGTCCTTAAAATATTTACATCGAATTTTGAATCACCCTATTTAAACGACGTGACACGTAATGTGTTAAAGCGCTCGCGGTGAAATATTTCGTCGTTGGTCACCCTGTTTAATACACTAGTTACTAGTTGGTCAAATAACCATTACCTACCTACTTATTAAGAAAAATACCGTAAATCGATCATGATTCGCGATAGAAAATAAGCGTACGCCACCTATTGAAGTTCTTAAAAGCTGTCAAAGCGGCATGCTTACTTTGTTTTTATTGGTTCACATATGTTTTTTATTTGTGCTTATCGGTCATATCATCAAAACAAACCGCTCAGAAGTGTTCAAGTTGCTGCCGTGTGTTATTTTCTATTCGCGAGATCCACGAAGTGGGCGACATCTAGGTTACATAATACGAACTTCAAACTGGGGGAAAACAAACTGTTGTATATGGATAAAGTGCATAGACTACATTGCATTCAGCTTGCTGTAGCTGTAGTCAATCTTGTCAATAACATAAAGTGTTGGCACTGTTGGTATGTAGTGATGATGGTTGAGTTAATTTTTTTACATTATAACATTTTTATTATTTTAGTGGACAGTGAACGGGTGCAGAATTAGAGATAGTTCAAACAATTCAAACTAATTATGACGAGCAAATCAATTGACATATAAAAGAACAGCTATAACATGTTTTCAATACCCAGATTGTCCTGCTTTGCATGAACAAATACAAATCCATTGTTCTACAGAAGTTCTTCTGGACCCCAACTTCAATTTTACTTCATGTGGGGAAGATTTCATCGCCGAAGTTTGTAGACAAAGTGCAAAAATGTGCCTTTTGTTGAAGTCTTCTGCCTCACACAAAATCACATGATTAGCACGGAGAACTACTTTTCCTTCCACTACTCGTCGGCTTTTTCCATCTAAATAGAGCAAAATATCTGCCAAAACAACATCTACAACAGGCATTATTAGCGGTTTCGATCGAATATTGACAATTAATGTAAAGAAATTCGAAAACTTATCACTCTTAACAGTACACACTACACAAGCTGATGGCACTAATGGGATTCAGTGAGGATTGAGTTTGTTTTCCCCCAGTTTTGACGTGGCTTTGGCATGGAACGATGAAAACTGAGCGCCACCTGGTAACATTGATTCCCGCGAATTGCGAATAGGTCGGTGTCTGTTTTAAGGCATCCAGGGATATCACCTTGTAATGAGCGCTGTTGCCAATTCAAATATATTTACGAAAAAACTAGAAATGTAAGTTATAAATATAATGATGACGCCACTGGAAATAATCAGCCATGGAGAAGAATGTTCGTCGTTTCTTGAACTCAACTCGGTTCGCCACGTCCCCTGACAACAAATATCCGTTCAGTAACAATTATTATCATCCAGCGAATAAAATCTCCACACACGTAAATATATTATGTAGGAATAGTGATATTTTACAATTTCCGCTTCTGTACAATGCTCCGTTTAGTTACGCCTTGTTCCGATAAAAAAAGCGTTTTCCATTCGTCGAATTCATATTCTATCGAATGAATAGCAGCCAGACCGGTTGTAAGTTGAGTGCGTTCCAATTGGCACATCATCAAAGAAAGGCAAATTAACTTTTCACTGAGAAACTCGTTTCTCAAGTAATATCGTATCGTTAATTGAGAGTCGTTCATTGGGTACTGGGAAATTATCTAATTGAATGTATTAGTAAAGCACGTTCGGCTAAAAATATTAATCATTTCGATGTGATCGAATAAACAAATAAATCACACCTAATGAGGAATCCGTGTTATTCAATTATAAGTATTAGTGTAAATAATAATGTGTATGATAATGCCTACAATATTATTATAAGGAACCATAGCTGTCCGTCCCGACTTCACACTTTTGGTGTAGGTACCCATTTAAAAAAAATAAGACATTTTGTGCAGTCGTTCTGAGCTATGCGCGTATCTACAGTACATAGTTTTTTCTTATTTCATTTAATTATTTGTGCTTACCTATAGCTACTATTAATTGTATAGTTACACCTAGGGTCCCTTGATGTAAATTGACGTATTTGTCATCTTAATAGGGTACGGACAGATCCTCGTCTCCTCTCACTCTAAAGTGTTTGTGAAACAGTTATATTATACTTCCATCTTTATTCATTTCTGGAGATAAACACTAGATTTCTGACATTTGTTGTTTTTTAGGTTATATTGAGGACATTGGCGTATCATGTAATTTCTCATTCAACTCTACATATTATATCCAAATAATGATGATAATTTTGTGATTATTCAACTCCAGCATAGTGGTGTAGAATTCTGACTGAAACTGAGAATTCTATACCACCCTGTATTTGTTTCAATTAAATACGAGTAAATAGTAAATCGAAAGTTAAGACACGGACATGTGAGCCGTTTCGACCAATAATGAATAGTTTTGACACAAAAAATTCCCAAAAATGAAAAATCTCGATTTTCCACACCCTATATCTCGGAAATCATTCTTGCTAGACCCCAAGTGTGCTAGGTCGCTGAATTCAGCTCTTCAGGGAGAATATGAAAATGCAATGAAATACAGGGTGTTCCATTTGAAAAAACTGATGTTCGATTTTGTGAGCCTTTCTTGCGCCCCTCGTAGAAAATATAGTCATTCCTGAAGTTAGCACTCATAATGCGATATGATGTGGAATTATAATATTTTGAGAATTCCTATTGGTTTATTCAACTGTCCCACTGGTCTAGGGACACCCTGTATATATCCGGGATAAAAGTACTCTCTTTGTCCCCGTGGGAAGAAAGTGATTTATGAAAAGCGACATTTCATAACTGGTCAACAGAGATGAAATGTCAACTTTTTTTCCCGTCATAGAAAAAACGTTATTTTCTCGAATCTTACCAATTAGTTAAATATTCTCCATCAAGACTTGATCATCAATGTGACTTAATTTTTGCAATCCATACAGTAGGCGATTAGTTATGCCCTTGCAATAAATTAATAAATAAATGAATGAGTCAGTCGTGATCTTGTTCATGCTAAAACTTGAAATGCAGTCGACTGTGTCGACTTCTTAGAGTCATAAGGCAACAATTGCACCAAACATTTTATTCATTCCTCTCCAAATTGTGCATTTCTGGCCGAGTGCCATTTTCATTCGTTTTCTTTTACGTGTATATATAACGAGATCCGCTTTATTCGACGTTCAGACAATTTCGTCTGCTCCGAACTGATTAAATATTGCAGCAAGTCTGTGCCCTTCCTTTTCAGCATTGATTAAAGTTGTTCATGTAAATCCCCCATTCACTTCCTTAGAAATCCTTAGACGTTTATTGTGCATTTCTTGAAATATTGTTTTCGGAATGGCTCCGATGAAAACACTTCTGTCGCGGGCGCATAATATACATTATTCATGATCGATTATTATTGAAACGCATTCATTTTCAGGCATCTAAATGATCTTAGCGATGATCTCAAATTGTCAGAGGAAAGCGAGGACGATCAAAAGGATTCCATGCCGTCTTCTAATGTGATGGTTGAAAGGTAGGTCAATGGTCAATGTCGTCCAAAGTTGACCTTAACAAATAATCATCAATCTACATAATATCGTTATCTCCTCGATAAGGTTAGGTGTTCATAGAACACCTGGATGTATTCGGCGTGTTTTTGGTGTTTTTTTCATCACATAAACACATCCATCAAGGTATTCTCTAGATATTGCTATATACAGTGTGTCCCAAATTCGATCCTCACCATTGGGATCTCAGTAACTATGAGAGATAGAGAAACGGTTAAATTAGCAAAGTTGTAGCAAATTTAATGTTGAATCATAATCTATCGGGAAATCCGGGCTAGCTTCAGTCATTCTTGAGTTATTTGAGAAAAACTGAAATCTTGTAATTTTGTTTTTCTCGAATATCTCGGAACCTATTGATTTTATGAAAAAATGACTTCAACATTCTCATAGCACTTTTTAGTGCTCTTTTCAATGGTTTTGTCAGTTTTCCATAAAAATGTAAAATTTCTGAGATATCACCTACAACTTCAATTTTTCTTATGGACGCCATATTGGATTTTGACAGATTTGAAATCAGCATCAAATTTCCTTTCTAGTAATGTATCACACTCACAGTTTTGTTCTATTTGGGGTACTGATTTCCAATTTTTGTTTTTATGTCAAGTAGGCTATGAATTCTGTGTTCTATGTTCTTGCATAACTTATCGCATGGAATTGGATGTGTACTATTATAGCAGAAAAAAAATTTAATAACAGTTGAGTAATACAAATACTGAAAAAAAAAATCAATTGAACTGCTCGAAATGGCCCCCATTGTTCTCGATACATTTTAATATTCGCGAGCGAACATGATTCGCTGCTTTTCCCAGATGAACTCTGTTGATGTTCTGGAATGTGTCCATCACCCTATCTCGTAGATCATCAATATCTTGAATTGGATCTTCAAAAATTTTATTTTTGGCGTAGCCCCACAGGTAAAAATCGAGAGGCGTACAGTCAGGCGACCTTGGAGGCCATCTCACAGGTCCATGGGTAGTAATTAATTTAGCACCAAATTGATTCTCGAGATATTCCCTAACCAATCGCGTATTGTGCGGTGGGGCACCATCTTGCTGAAACCACATTAACTCATATTCAGCAAGTGGTATCTTGTCTATAAAATTCGAAATTTCATTTCTCAATAGCTCTAAATAACGTGGACCATTCAAGTTATAATCGTAGATTATTGGACCTAGTAGTCTACTGCCTGAAAAAAATACACAATGAGAAACAGTTATTCATGGACCAAAATTCTAGTAAGGTACCAAATATCCCACACCAAACATTGAAACCAAATTTGTTCTGCCACTTTGATTCTCTGATGACATGCGGATTATTTTGTGCCCAGTAATAATGATTATGTTTATTGTAAATTCCATTATTATGAAATCTCGTTTCATCGGTCCAGCAGATATTCAATAGAAAGTTCTCGATTCTTTCACACTGGTTATGGAACCAGTGACAAAACTCGAGACGACGTTCATTATCACCAGGTCTTAACCCTTGTACTATCACTGGTTTGAAAGGGTGGTACTTATCATTCACTAAATGTCTGTGGATTGTTGTTTTCGGCACAAGAGTTCTCCGACTAAGCTCTCGAATCGAAATGGTAGGAGTTTGATTGATGATTCCTTCGATATTTGCAATATCTTGTTCATCCAAGCGCAAACCATACCTTGGCCTAGGTGCAATGAAACTTCCATGCTCTTGCAAATATCTTTGTAATGTTAGAAAAATAGATAGATGCGGTTGTTGTCTTTCTGGATATAAATGGAAGTATTGTTCAGCTGTTTCTCTGTTATTTCGATTATTTCTGATATAACAATTGTACATATCAAATTTTTCGAGATTTGTGAACGGCATTGTTTGCCCCGAAATAATTGACTTGTATTTTTTCTTGACGTTTACAGAAATGTCACTTGGCTCACCTTTGCTCCAAGCCTACTCTATGAAAGTTGTGCCAGAACACATTATCGTTAATGTTTATAGAGAGCTTAGCGCATAGCCTACTGGACATAAAAACAAACATTGGAAATCAGTACCCCAAATAGAATAAAACTGTAAGTGTGATACATCACTAGAAAGGAAATTTGATGCTGATTTCAAATCTGTCAAAATCCAATATGGCGTCCTTAAGAAAAATTGAAGTTGTAGGTGATATCTCAGAAATTTGACATTTTGACGGAAAACTGACAAAACCATTGAAAAGAGCACTAAAAAGTGCTATGAGAATGTTGAAGTCATTTTTTCATAAAATCAATAGGTTCCGAGATATTCGAGAAAAACAAAAATACAAGATTTCAGTTTTTCTCAAATAACTCAAGAATGACTGAAGCTAGCCCGGATTTCTCGATAGATTATGATTCAACATTAAATTTGCTACAACTTTGCTAATTTAACCGTTTCTCTATCTCTCATAGTTACTGAGATCCCAATGGTGAGGATCGAATTTGGGACACACTGTATATATATATACATTGTGGAAAACTATGATAAAATCTGCAGTTCCGTAATAGAAATAGAAAAATATTTCGAAAAATCTTTGGAACTGGTCGGCGGTTTTTATTTGTGAAATTCTATTTTTTTACATGAGAATTTTCATCCACCTGTTAACCTCCTGCCTTGAAGATATGTATTTTAAGTCTTCATATAACGGGTCTATTTTACCTAACAGTAAAACAAGAGCAATTTTGTGTAATAGCTGTAGGAACAGATTATTTCTAAAGTGATGAAGTACAAAAATATGGATGATCACCAATAATTATTTTTCATCATATTCTGAAAGATTATGAACATCAGAAATATTTGCGTGACATTTCCAACACGAAAGCGAAACAAGTCTATATGGACTGTATACTAAATATAAAAGGATCCAGAAATTTGTACATTTTCTGATATCCAGAACAAGTGAATTTATCTATTCACAAATATAATTGAAATAACATTAAAACAGCATTATGTGTTTGGTAGCACCTCAGATGTCACTATATATACTTTCACAAGATACAACCAAATACAGCATAACAACAACTACAACAGGAAACACATTCATGGATTATAGTTTGATCACACAGTAATTCACTTATCAGTTTGTGAATTTTTATCAAAATGGGGGCAACAATAAAACATACTCATACATTTTGGACATATTACTGTGTCATTGTCATTTGATATTTGGGAATAATATCTTTCACCATTTTTATTCACATAAACTAGTAGAAGTTTTTCTTCCTTGTCCAATTTCTATGTCCACTTCTTCCATTTTGATCAATTGGTTTTCTGTTTGCTGTTGTTCTTGATGTTATTGTGACGGCTACAAAACTTCATCTCCATCATCGAATCACACACATTACCCATCACTCTCAAAATCTCCACCTGTGCTTCAGTGTAATGTTTGGTCTCCAGTTCCATATCATCCGAGATATCATCATCATCATCATTTGTAATAGGTCCAGAATGATTTCTTCATTATTTCACTATTATTTGGAACTAATGAAATTCAGATTTTTTATTGTCAATTCCATTTCTTTTTGGGCACCTTCAAATTCATTATTCTGATTCTCTATTGTCAATTCCATTTCTTCTTGACGAATTTCAATTATTATCATGTAAGTACTTACTTTCTGTATAAGGAGTATAAGGATAGTCCTTTTTTTATATCTGATGATTTCGGTATATTTACTGATGGTTCTGAAGTTTCTTCACGAGTTTTGGTAGTTGAATAAAAACTTGCTGGATTTCGTTTCAACTATTTTGTGAACTTGATGCATGTTTCGAAAAAATGAAAGCAATTGACAGCACTCAGCCACAAAGTAAACCTCAGAAAAACATAATCAAAATTCACTCAAAATAATGGTCGCCATATTTGTTGTCAACAACAATGTTCATACTCGCAAGACAAAATTTGCCACCAGAGACCGCACACTTCGTGATTCTCGCGAATAACCTATCAACACAGATGAAATGTCAAACTTTTTTCCCGTCACAGAAAAAACAACAATATTCTAAACTAAACCACATAATATTCCTCCCAACAGAATGCTATCACCGCTCGCCGCCACCCCTGCCATCCACACCTCCAAGATGGACCGCCCTCCGCCCCCCCTGGCCCCCCCATCACCAGCCCCCTCCTCCTCCAGCGACTCGGGCTCCGAATCCAACTCCGAAAGCGACTCCACCACCGACGACTCGGCCGAGGACAACGTGCCCACCACCACCACGGTGACGTCACCGCACCCGCACACCACCCCCCTCCATTCGGAAATCAGTCACGCATCCCCTAAAGCCGTGGAGGTGGAGGAGGAGGAGAACAAGCAGCGCTGGAACTTGGCGTCGTTCGTGGTGCCGGATGCGCAGCAGTCGCCGCTGCTGTCACCTGTCAAGACCGCGAAGGTGCCCGCAGCGACGGAGGAGTCCGATACGAGCGATTCGGCGAAGGACGTCGACAGGTAGGGTCGGGACCTCGAACTTCATAACGATAGACACCGCGATCCATTCATGAATCATTGAAAAGTATACGCCAAAAACCCCAAACGACAAATATGGTTAAATCGCAAATGGTGGGGATAATAACAGACACTCGTACATTTGCGGGCGAGTATTCATACTAAATAACAATAGCTACACAGCGATCCATTAATAAATTATTGAAAAGTATACGCCAACAATCCTGTACGACAAACACGGTTAAATGGATGAAATCGCGAATGGTGGGGATGATGAGAGACACTTGTACATTGATAGACACCGCGATTCATTCATAAATCATTGAAAAGTATACACCAACAATCCTAAACGACAAACACGGTTAAATAAATGAAATCGCGAATGGTGGGGATAATAACAGACACTTGTACATTTGCGGGCGAGTATTCATACTAAATAACAATAGCTACACAGCGATCCATTCATAAATTATTGAAAAGTATACGCCAACAATCGTGAACGACAAACACGGTTAAATGGATGAAATCGCGAATGGTGGGGATGATGAGAGACACTTGTACATTGATAGACACCGCGATTCATTCATGAATCATTGAAAAGTATACACCAACAATCCTGAACGACAAACACGGTTAAATGAATGAAATCGCGAATGGTGGGGTATAATCACTTGTACATTTGCGGGTGATTATTCATACTAAATAACAATAGCTACACAGCGATCCATTCATAAATTATTGAAAAGTATACGCCAACCTGAACGACAAACACGGTTAAATGAATGAAATCGCGAATGTTGGGGACGATAAGATATACTTGTTCATTGATAGACACCGCCATGAATGAATGAATGAAATCGCGAATGGTGGCGATAATAACAGATCCTTCTACATTTGCGGGCCATGTGGAAATCACATTAGAAATAAAAATAAGATGAGCCGTGGGGTCATTTCATCCCAAAAATCAGTCCGGTGAAGGGGTACTTGAATTTTTGTTCAGTCGGTTCAAAAATTCAGGTACCCCTTTACCGGACTGCTTTTTTGGATCAACTGACTCCACGGCTGATTTCCACATGGCCTTATTGGTATGTTTTTCCTCAACAACTTATCGTTCCTCTGTAAATTAAATCATTTTATAGGTGTTTGAGCCGAAACTAGTCAAATTTTGTGTATTATAAGTTCTGCGGTCAACCTACTTCGTGTATTTCTGTTTTTCTATGAAAAGATGTAGACCACTTTGAGAAGGATGGATGGTTTCCATGATTTAACCCCATAAATCTCCGTACATTCATGAAACCCATGAAATTCAATTGAATTCCATATATTCATTCCAGGGTAGTAGCAGAGGCCAAAGCCCTGGCCGCCTTCACCTCCATCCCCCTCCTCTCCAGCCTCTCCGACTCCGAGGAGGAGGGAAAAGAGCGCCACACGAAAAGGCGCAAGCGAGCCGCCCCACCGCCCGTGCCCAAACCGCCCGCGGTCAGTGACAGCGACAGCGACGACGAGGACGAGCGCACCAGTCGGATAAAGCCGGTGAGTCGGGCTAGCCCGAGGACGAAGTCCGTCGACACGGACAGCGACTCGGACTCGGATGCGCCGCCACCGTTCGCGAGGACATCGCCGTTGCCCGAGAAGGTGATCAAGCCCGGTCGCGGGAGGCCGAGGAAGATTATTGAGTGAGTTTAATACTGTCTGTAGGTTAATCGAGGAGGTCATACATTCATTATTCCAGATTTTTTGGGATTTTCTCTCCTCGTTTCTATAAAATAAAAATATGAATATTATTTCAATATACGTGTAGTAAGAACTAATCAGGTGATTTGACCCAAAATGTCACTGCGTTTAAAAATTTTCCTATCAGAGAGCCTAAAAGAAAAATTCACTAGCTTGTCAGTCACAATTTGTATTGAAAAAGGTTTGGAGAAGAGAAATAAAGGAATATAGAAAAAATATCAAATTTTCACTTAGCTGGACGTTTCGGGAACGAATCTGCTTCCGTTCTCAACATAAAAATGCAAAATGTGTAGTGTTTTTTTCTATTCATAGGAATTGTCAACATTTTCTACTCGTAAAAAAGTACCACTTGACACACTTGTTACATAAATAACTATTCTAGGAAGAACAAACTGCCGGAGGCCGAAAAGGAAGAGAAGGTGAAGAAGCGCGGCCGACCTGCCAACGTCAATAAACCCAGGGTGTCGAGGAGCGGGTCCTCGGACACCGAAATCAAGAAGGCGAAGCGTGGCAGGCCACCCAAACACAGCAGGCCTCGCTCTCCGAGCACCTCCGACGAAGAAAGCGTGGTCAAGTTCGAGAAGCCTCCACCTCCGACCAGGAGACGGACGAAGTCTAAGAGAACGACGTCAACCAGTTCGGATTCCGATGGCCCGCCTCCCAGAAGAAGGAAATCCAGTAGTAGTAGCAGGGCGGAGAAAGAAGTTTCCAAAGGAACTTCGAAGAAGGCGCTCAAGTACAAGGAAGATAAAAAGAGGGCAACGAAAGGTTCTGACGACGAATGGGGTGCCAAAAAAGAACGGAAGATCGAAACCCCGAAGAAGAAGGAAACCATTTCACCAACAAGGCGGAAAAGCAGACTGTCCACCTCCAAGAAAACCATCGAACCCGTTAACCCCAAGTTCGTATCAGACTCCAGCAGCGACAGCGACGCCAAAAGTAAAAAGTCGCGATTAAAGCCCAAACTAAATGCACGTTCCTTCTCCAACGAATCCTTGAAAGTTATGAGCGACTCAGACAGCGAAGCCGAACCACCTCCCAAGAAAACCCCCGTAAAAATCGACTCCACCATCAAAGTCGACGAGAACAAGTCCATCGCGGACAAAAAGAAGAGCGACACCCTGCGGAAGCTTTTCACGCCTAAAAGAGACTCGGAAGGCGGCAAAGGCGGTGGTAAAGGAGGTGGTAAAGGCGGCAAAGGGGGCAAAGGCAAAGGAGGGGTCAATGTCATAATAGTCGACGGTGACTACGAGCGTAGCAGCTCCTCCCTCGAGGATGAAACCATGCCTACTGTGACCAGTAAAGAGACGAAAATACCCGAACGTCATTCCCCGCAAAGCTGTCCACCTTCGCCCGTTTGCCCGGACGGGGTTGTTAAAGATGCAGAGAAGCTGGAACTGTGGGTGCAGATCGACCTGCGGAGGTTGAACATGGAATGCATACCGGCTCTGAGGAGGCACTTGGAGAGCGAGAGGCCGTGGCTGCTGGAGATGAAAGGAGAAACGATAAAAGAAGAGAAACCTAGTGATTTCGAAGATGCCAAACAGAAAATAGTAGTTAAAGAAAGTGATAGTGAGAGTGCGAAAACGTTGTTACCGCGACCGGAGGAGCGCAAACACAAGTCCAAGAAGAGAAAGAGACGGAACAGCTCCAGTTCCATGTCGACTGTGAGCAGCGGCAGTAGGAAGAAGGAGCAGCACCAGAAGAAGGAGAAGGAGGATCCGAAGTCGAAGAGGCGGAAAGACGAGGCGGAAAGATCTCGAACGGAAAATCTCAGTTTGACCGATGCCCCTGCCACCAACCACGAGCGGGAGGAGTGCCAAACGATAGAAGAAGAGGTCCCTTATGGCGATGCGCCTGCTTCGACCAGTCGGCCTCAGAATGGCAGAGAGTACCATTCGTACTTCGAGGCTGCTGAGGAACCTTCGGAATACGAAGAAAGGTAATCAATTTGAGGTTCATATACAGATTTCAACTGTGGATTCCAATAACAACAATAGTAAAGTTTATGTATACACGGGTCCAGAAATGGCCCCTTAGGTATAGTCATCCAAAGGTGAGCATGAAATGAAGATGTTTTGAAAATATTTTCGAAACTCTTTGTGATGAAATGACCAAATTTTGTACAGGGACCTAACTTTCCATGCTCAATTCTAGAATGTCAAGAATATTTTGAAATTTATTTAGGGGAGTGGGATATACGAGGGGCTTGGAGCACTTTCTTGTTAATGCAATTTTGTTTGACCAGGAAATATGAAAGTCTCATGATTTCTTCTTCAAAATGGTACTCACGTTTGATTTCTGTAGCATTCACAATTTTCTAAATGAATCGATTCAGCTGCATAACTCCTAAATGATGACAACAAGCAGATAAAGAATGAAAAAAGTGCTTTTTCTTGATAGGGTATACCTACCATAATTATTGTTTGAATAATTTTGATTATTGTACCCCCGATATTTTGAACCAAAGCATTGGAGGTAGATTTTCCAATAAAGTGCAATTCTTGGGAAAATTCGGACTTTTTCGAAAAAACCCTTGGAAATAAATTGTTTCTACTGTTTATTATCAAAGTTGATAACAAAACATAAATAGAACAAACTCCCAATAAGTACAATAAATTTCGAAAGTGATTTCTATTTTCTCGTGAAAAGTCCAAATTTTCCCAAAAATTATGGTTTGTTTGGCAATGAACATATTTAATTGAGAGATTCATCTTGAAAACGTCGAATGCTATGGAAATTAAAACAGGAGTAGGTACCTACCATTTTTGAGTAGACAAGTTGAGATTTTCATATTTCCTAGTCAAAGTGACGAAAATTGCATAAACAAATGAGTTGGAAAAAAAGCCTTTAGCCCCTCCTGTTTTCCACGCCCCTAATCAACATTTCCAAATATTCTCAACGTTTTCGAGATTGGCATAAAAAGAAGGGTACATCAACAAAATTTTATTACTTTATTACAAAGGATTTCCAGGATATTAGGTAACAGAAAAACCTTCCCCTTGTGCTGGCCTCTAGATGATTATAATCTCCTAAGGAGGTATTTCTGGACCTATGTTTATACATATATATATTTTTTCATTATTTGTGCTCCTAGAATCTACAGTTAAAATCTTTCTTCAATTTCAGAACAACCACGGCCTATATACGTGTGGTTTTGGAAAAAATTCATTTGAAATTCTTATTGCAAAATAACTGCTACCCACAGAAATAATATTTCACTCCATGAGGGCTAATATTTTCAGTCCCATCAGTTGGCGTTACTGAGGTCAATGTAAATGTCAAAAATCCCAAAATTTTGCCAAATAGCCCATACATTGAATATCATTTGGAGTTTTTAAGCAAACGTCATATTCTTTTAGGGATCAGAATCAGTACCTGAGCGACGCGAAAAGGTTGAAGCATATGGCCGATAAAGAGACTGACACGATAAAGCAGTGCATGCTGTATTTGGAGGCGGTGCTGTTCTTTTTGTTGACCGGCAATGCCATGGAGCAGGAACGGGTCACTGAAAATTCCGCATTCACCATGTACAAAGACACCCTCTCATTAATCAAGTAAGTTCATCAGTATCTACGAAATATTCATGGAAAGCTGGGAAAATACTTAGAAATTCAAAGAAACGAGAACATATTGTGATATTGACTATAGCACTTTTTTTTTCAGATATATCTCGTCAAATTTCAGGAAACAGCAGAACGTGTCACCTATACATAATAAATTAGCTGTGTTGAGGTAGTATTTCGACTTCAAATGAATGAACATACATTTTCTAATTCACGTTTTCTTTGCAGTTATCGGTGCCAAGCTCTTCTGTTTTACAAACTTTTCAAGATGAGGAAACAAGAAGCCAAGGACTTGCAGAAAGTTATTAGTGAATATTGCAGCAAGGTGAGAAAAATGCATAAATGAATCTTCAAAGTATAGGTACATTTAAAATTGTTGTGAACCTGAAAACATCAGATTTTCCAATTTATGTTGACATTAGCAACAGTTTTTTATAACTACTTGGTGCCTTGTTCAGCAATCCTTTCAATGATGAAATATGGAATACATAATGTAGTTGAAAAATCAGCAACCTATTGAAAATTTACGTTAAGCACTATACCTAGTAAATCTTCAATTCTATCAATCTAGGCAATCAGTTGCAATACATTTAGATATTGTACAATGCATCCCATTTTGGTTAAGACTGACAGGTTTTTCGGTTGTAATTGAAGATAGTTGCTGTTTTCACGTTCCTTACCTACTTTTTTGTGAAACTCAAGATGGCCCAATCGAATTTTGCATAACTGTTTCCCTTTATACAGGAAGTTAGATTATCTTTCATAAACAAAACAGCAAAATCTACAATGACTACAAAAGACTTCTCATCACTCAAAGTGGCTTAACAATGACTTACAATGACTACCAGTGACTACCAAAGACTCCTAGTGATTTCTAATGAATTCTAAAAATTCTCAATGCTTTCCAATTACTACCAAAGACTACTAAAGACTGTTAGATCTCATACCTAAGAGATCTAGGATGAACAGAGTTGGCCCAATTGTCAGCAGGAGCGAGACTGTTTCGACCCACCAGGTCTCATCAGCCGCTCTCGGTCTGCTGACAACTGGAACAACTCTACGCTTCGGGTATATCACCCATTTCGTATAACATGAAGTTGAAGTCTTGTTGTAGCCATCTAGTGGAAAAGCTCTAAGGTAGGATCCAGAAATCGCGACACACACTTTGTGGCGCTGATATCTATTGTCACACGTACAGACCCTTACGTCTATACGATACAGAGTGGTATTACAAGTAAACCACTCTGCTGACAGATGGCACTACCTGACATACTTGAGTGAATATTTTCACCACCTATTCAACTGCTAGATCTTATAACTAAGAGATCTAGGAAGACAGCAAAGCTCTAAGGTAGGATCCAGGAATCGCGACACACACTGTGTGGCGCAGCCATCTATAGTAACACGTATAGACCCTTACGTCTATACGCTACAGAGTGGTACTACAAGTAAACCACTCTGCTGACAGATGGCACTACCTGACATACTTGAGTGGATATTTTCACAACCTATTCAACTGCTAGATCTCATAATTAAGAGATCTAGGAAGAACAGCAAAGCTCTAATGTAGGATCCAGAAATCGCGACACACACTGTGTGGCGCTGCCATCTATAGTAACAAGTATAGACCCTTACGTCTATGCGCTACAGAGTGGTACTACAAGTAAATCACTCTGCTGACAGATGGCACTACCTGACATACTTGAGTGGATATTTCTACCACCTATTCAACTGCTAGATCTCATAACTAATGATCTAGGATGAACAGCTACGTGTGACTATAAATGGCAGCACCACACAGTGTGTGTGGCGTTTTCTGGATCCTACCTTAGAGCTTTGACACTAGATGGCTACAACATGACTTTAACTTCATGTTATACCCTGCGACTACTAAAGACTTCTAGTGACTCAAAATGACTTAAAAATAACCACCAGTGACTACCAAAGACTTCTAGTGATTTCCTAATGACTACTAAACACTTCTTGTCACTCAAAATGGCTTAAAAATAACCACCAGTGACTACCAGACTACCAATGACTTCCAATGGCTTCTGAGAGTGCATACGACTTCTAAGGAGACAACAACGTCACATCTTCTTGCCACCGACCACACTCCCAAACCGTCTGATACGCCAAACGAGTACCCGAAACTAAAACCCGCTCTCCTTCAAATCTACAGAACCCCGGCGTGATGATGGCCCAAGACGCCGCCCCCCACCACCCCCTGCCCCAGGGCCAAGGCACGCCCTCCCCGCTCTCGCCCACCCCCTCGCCCGCCGGCAGTGTGGGCAGCGTGGGCAGCCAGTCGTCGGGCTACAACAGCGGCGAACTGGCTACGCGGGCGGCCGCCCCTCCTGCCGCCCCTACCTTGGGCCAGCCGGCGACGCACGCGCACAACGCTGGGTTGTGGGTGCCCTTGGTCGTGTATAATGCGATGGCGAAGCAGAACCAGCAGTTCACGTATTTGCTGAGCTACCAGGATCTGTGGGACGTGGCGGATTCGTTGGTCGTTAAGGGGAAACATACCGGTAAGTGGTTTTACAAAATCAGTACATATTATATTCAGCGCATTGATATGATACAGCCCAACGATCCAACGAATATTCCCAAAATATCAAATGATTTCTGATAGACCGGGAGCCCACAACGTGTTTTTTGTGTCTCATTTGTTCAAACTCAGCAGTTACTGTAATTGAGACATTATTATTCAATTTTTTACCGTTCGGCGATGGTATTTCTTGATAATTAATAGTATAATAGATATAATTATGTAACCTCCGAATAAAATGATTGGTCCAGAAAGGAATGGACTCGGGAATGGACGACGAATGAATTTTTTCCCGTTAGTTACACACCTTCTGGCTTCCCTAACGTTATTAAAGAATTTGTCATAGCTATGTTCACTCCAAATTAAAGTTCTACGTCATAATTTGCCGCTCCGAGAATTATTGATGTATTTTCCTCTGATATAGCACATAACCAGATATGCTCCAATAATTGACACCAAAAAGAATCTAGGCAGTGTCATCATTATCCAAAATGACTTGACAAAATTTCACGCAATGCCTTTTTATCTTGAGCTGTTTTCCGGATTCAACTGTAAGCAGTGTCAGTAATTCCACTGACTGTGCTGAAATTCTGCTGATTTCCATGATGGCCCATCCATCCATAACTAATCCAATGGAGCAATCCAGCTTTGACATTTAGCGATTAGAATGTCTCGATATGATAATCATAAATTAACCACTAGGTGACTTCACACTACCTTTTTGTAGTGGGTAATTTCAGCAGGATTCTGATCCAAAAATATTCAGAATGAATAGTATTTCTGCTCCAGATCTGTTACTCTCAGTGAATTTTGTTGATTTTGGAATTTAAAATCAGCAGATTCAGTACTGACAGTTGAATTTGGAATATAGCCTAAGTGAGGCGTTTTTTGTTATCTATAAAAAATTCATAATTCATAGAGAAACTGATCTAGTGTTTTCAATCAATGCTACAAAAAATAATCAAGCTCTATCCGTGCCAAAATACTAAAAAATACAAAAAACCGTTGTTCAGCTTGTGTATTTTATTTCAGACTTCTTCATAGAGTTGGATAGACAATGCAAGCCGCTGACGATGCACAGTTCAGTCATCGACTTGGTACGTTACGTGAGAGAAGGCATCAAAAAGTTGAAGGAGAGTTAGGGAAAAATGTCGCCGACAGTGTAATACGCGAAAAAAAAATATGCCAAAGAAAGCGAGCACCAAGTCAATTTATCGTCAATGGAACTGAGAAAGAGAGTTGCACGAGGCATCTTTGAAAACGTACGGAGTCTCAAAAAGTGCTTTGCATTCAGTCAGAGTCGAGATAGCTTTCTACGCGTTTTCGATAGGTTGTGACTATGAAATTAATCATTTGAAAAAATTGGGATCAATAAGTGAGATTATCAAGTTTGAACAAGAATGGTCTATTGAAGCGGTACAAATGGACATTTTGATCAACTTTCCACCAATGTCCTATCGAAATTATGATTCTTTTGAATGCTACTTGTATACCTAGAGTGATGAGTAGATGGCACATCGACGTTGAGAGCCAAAACTTCCCAAACGATTCTTCTTATATGTTCTATTCCAATTTGTCAAAAACCACTTCAGTTTGGATTATTTCCCTATCAGCAAGTGAATTCCTGAACTTGAGAGGAGCAGGTAATTTTAAGGTTATCACGCGCAATTTTTCTTGGAGATATTGAATAAATGACAAAATACACAACAGATACCTAATCATTACTTGTAAAAGCCAATTAAACAAGCATTATCGGAGAACCATAATTTTCAAATACCATCGATAGTAAGACATGGCAAGTTGAATCGCTTCAATCAACCAGAATATCAGTTTAGTTCATTCAAAGTCGACCAATGTTTTTTCTATACGAATTTTTAAAGAGGAATGTTGTCTTTACTCTGATGAGATAGCGAATTTGTGTTAACCTTCAAGAAGATATTCTTACATAGACTAGCTAATTGACTATATTTAATATTTTACTTATGGCAATTGGGCCATTTTTTCAAAATGGATGAAAAGTAAACAGTCGGCAATGTCGACCCTACTTAGGGTGCAGTACTTTAATAATAAGTAATATTTTTACATTATTAGTAAAATTCCACGTACATAGTGTATATTTTTTTGTAAATAGTGTATGCTAAAGTTATATATTTACAACATGCTATATTTGTACAACGCTGAAGAAATATTGTAGGCCTAGTGAATCAAATTCCTGCATCTCATTCGGTTGTGGATGGCGGATGTAGATAAATTGAGAAAAAAGTAGTCATTGTTATTTTTGCATATATTCTAGAGTTAAGCGTGCATATATTGTATCATCTATGTATATCATGTACATTTTTATTAATTTTAAATTATTTAATTTTATTTTTACCATAGGCGTTTTGTCTTAAGGCCATTTGCGAAAACGAAATCAAATGTTTGAAAAAATACATAATTTTTTTACCTTATATTGTTATGACATTATTTATAAATCTATGGTGGCAAAAATCTTAAAAATGTTGAGTTTCTCCAAGAGTATTTTATTATCGTATATTTGTAATTTGGAAGCACTCTACAATGGAAGTTCATTACCATCGGGCACATTTTTGACAATCAAGTACAATCAAAACGTTTTAAATAATTGATGTTCGTTTATGGAATATGTTTAGTTGATCTGAATCAAAATAGTATAACTTTGTTTTATCCATCGCTTGAAAGATAACAGCACTGTTTTAAACCATTTCATCCCCATTCTGATTAGGTGCTGAATTTTATTTTCCGGCGGCTATCATTATACCAGGTGAAAAATCAGGATAATATTAGATACATATTTTCCGTTTTTCAATTACAGCTCTCCAATATCCCAAATGTTGAAAATCAACCGAATTTAACCGAATATGAAATACAACCATCATCTGCTCTATGATTCCTTTTCAGTTCTACTTAGTTACTGTAATACTTATATTGTTGTTCTTGCACTATACTGAACAAAAAAAAAACAATCCCCATGAGAGATTCAAGTTGAAAGTTGATTTTATTGAAATAAAATGAACTTTTTGCCAGAAAATTTCAATATTCGTTTGTTAAAATTCGTTGAATTATTCAAAGAGTCATTGGGAGCTAAAGTGTATGCAAAGTCAGTTGAACACATCATCAAACGAATGTCGGGCCGCGCTGCCGCACTCTTTGAACTTTCAAAGGGACCGACGGCTTTCGGTGGTGTGTTTTTCCAACTGACTCTACATAAACTATACTTGAGATTAGGTAGTACATTGTTCAAATATATTTTTGATATCATTACCTGCGATTTGATTGGAGCTCAATGGAAAATTAGCATCCAATAACAATAAAACAATAGCTACTTATCTTGTGATCCTGTGTTCATGTCTTCCAAAAGTGTTCTCATATATTGACATTTATTAAAAACCAAACACAAATGGATGATTTAATATAGTGTTGTTTATTCAAGGAAAATGAAATGATAAACATGGAGACAATGTTACAAAAAAGTAGAATTTTGCCAAATAAACATCACAAAAGAAGTTGAGAAATGTAGAGTTCAGTACATTTTCAAGGCAGTTATTATTCAGGAATATCCTTAGCATGTTCTCATGTCTATTGAGTTTGATGCAACAGTTAATTTTGAACTAACCTGAAAAATCCGGTACACGGTGGACTTTTTTTGACTATGGGCAATGAGATCTTGTTATCTCAAGAGATATAGGAAGTAAATAATAATTTACTGGGATCAAGAACGCTCTGTGAAATGACACTAGAAACCACCCAAAGTTCAATTCATTATGTGTTTCAAATGCGGAATTTGGTACAGTGATTAGTATAGTGATTAGTATGAAAGCAAAAAATACACCTGGATTTTGATATTGAAAATTTCTTTCCTCCACATTCTCCAGATTGATATTGTTCAAAAACATATTTTATTTTCTGATTCAACTGACCCTCTTCAACCTAACGGGAGAACATAATGGAAGAGAAAAATAGAACGATTTTTATATGCAACTTTTGTTCAAGACTTCATCATCTCATGCTCAACATCAAAAAACGGACATCCTTCTGGTTTATAGACAGAATTTTCAATGCCAAGCGGGTATTTTGAAATGAAAGCAATAAAAACTGGATGCATGTGTTAGATATCAATTTGTTTTTTGTGTTTTCATTGAGAATTCTGCTCAATAATAGTAGGAGAACCAGCTACAAATTTTGACCGTCATCTGATAACGAAATGTTATATCTTCCAAAGGCATGTGAAAACGTTGTAATTTATCGAACGGCACCTGTGCCAATCACTATCCTGAGCAAAATGCAAAAAATTGCACTTTCCTGTGCGGTACTTTGCACAAAATTTCGCAATTCCTAATGCCATCCATACGATACCAAATGAATGGTAGATCCCAAAAACCTAACTCTGCCACCTCTTATTCTGAGTTGAATCCACGGCACAGCGATTTATTTGCTGCCGTTATTCCGTACAAACTTCCGTCATGTGATAACGAGTTGAAACAAAAAGCAAATGTGAATAGCGTCAATATATTCGAGAATATTTCGCCCCTCTCTTAAAATAATATCCGATGGCCTAGTGTGAAACTAAACGTGGATTTGAATACTGGTCCGTCGGATATTATCTTTGAAGTGAGGCGAAATATTCTAGAAAATATTGACGCTCTGCCACTAACTTGAATCAGTTTGAATCGCGGCATGTTTAGATATTCCACTTTCATTTACTTTTTTTTCCAACTTGTTATCACATGACCGCAGTATGTCCGGAATAATGGCAGCAAATGAATCGCTGTGCCCTGGAGTAGCACAGGTGGGCTTTTGAGATCTACCATTCAATTGGTATCGAATGGCATAATTCTCATCTCGTCATCAAATCGCGCAAAGTGCAATTTTTCCATCAGTTTGCGCAGGATATAAAACCATTTTTTTACATGCCATATCATTTCGTTATCAGATGGCGGTCGAAATTTGCATCCAATGAAAATATGACGATATAATCATTGATTGCAATACAATAATAATTGTGGTGAACTTCTGTTGGTTTGTGCAGAGCGAAGTTTGGTTACAAACTCTTCAAGACCGTGCACATTTTCGATGAATGTGTGGTGCTTTTCAATTGATTTTTGATAGTTGATTTATGTCGAAAAAAACCGCAATGACAGAGGTCGTTGGTCGGTAATAGGTGGGCTGGAAGGGACCAATGGAAAAAATCTAAGAGTGTGTATACGATAAGCGTGATAAGGTAGAAATCTGTAATTTTGATATTTATGATATTTTATAATCTCCTCTCTAGCTAGCCTGCATTCAGTTGATATTTTGTTCGTTAATTCTTTTGATGAGATTCTTGGTTATTTGTTGATTTCATTATATTTATGAGTGTTCCTTTTTTATTGATTTGTAAATTTTTTGCTGGTTTTTGTGAATTTTACTTATACCTTGCATTTCGGTTTATATCTTTATATAAAATTATAAAATCCAGACATATCGACTGAAACAGATTGTTTTCTTTTTTGTTTGAAATATATTAATTTATTTTATATTTATTTCGTTGTTTGTTTTTATTTTTCATTCACTAGACATCATTTTGTCTATCCGTGTAACCAAACTGAGGTCTGTCGGAGGATTAAACTTTATATATGCATATACATATATATATATATTTGACAAGAACTTTCATGGTAACTCCAAAGTAACTTAAAGTGACCTTGAATAGATCATAAATGAAGAATACATCAGTACCTTGTACATATTTATACATAAATTTTAAGATCAGTTATACTTTGAGGTGATGTGTAACAAAAGGACCCAAAACTTTTCTTTCAAATATATTATTAAAGCAAATCCTTACTGTTTTATTGATGATGAAACCTCCTATGATCAATTAATTATGTGTCTCCCCAGATTGAAATTGAAAATGTCATACACAGGGTATTCACTATAATTAAAACCACCTCAAGCACACATTTAGAGGCACTAATAGCAACTGCTCAACCTGTTTTCAGAAAAATAAGATTTGAAGAAAAAAGTAGAAATTTTTCATTTCCGCATCACGTGACCTACGCAGGCTACTTTAACAGTAGTATTTGAAAAAATATAGATTAAACTCTATACAAATTTTCATGAAGCTCTAATAGCTAGAAAAAGTAAATAACCCTCCGTACACCGAACAGATTGCCTCGAAAATAAGTTCGATTCATTAGTTAAATTCATTATTGATCATTGAAAACATCCTAAGTTTTCCTAATCAGAGAGGTAAAACTAGGTTTTTCTCCAAGCAGCATTCAAGGCTTTCCTCTGACACTTTATAGGCAGGAAATGTTTTCCGACTTTCTCTGTCTAGGCAGTAAATTTATTTATTTATCAGAAACATACAGGTTACCCTAATTACATGTTTCTGCTTCTTACATATTTGAATCAGAATACAACAACACTATTAGGTACTAATGGATTGAGAGGGGTTTGGTACAAAGACAATATTATTGTTCGGTTTTAATTTCAATAACGGCTCTTCTGAATGATCGAAAACTTGACATGAATAGATCCAGATCATATTCGAGAATGTATTGATTGTATAATCGGCAAATGGAATCTAGAGCATTTGTGGTGTTGATCAGAAATGTAAGGAGTCTGGGACGCGTCCGATAATTGGGTACATATAAATTTATCTGATGTAGGAGTTCAGGTGAGTCTACAAGATTATTCATCAATTTATAGAGAAAAAGAATACCGCGGTGGATTCTCCTGTACTCTAATTTTGTGATTTTCAGTTCAAGCCTTAACGGATGATATGAAATAAATCCAGGGCTGGCCTTGTATTTTTTGTAATATATATACTCGAGAAATTTATTTTGAAGTGTCTCTATTTGTTTGACATTTCCTTTGTTGAGATAGTTATTCCAAATCAAACATCCGAATTCGAGTTTGCTTCTAACCAGAGCATTATAGAGATATATAATAGATTCAACAGAGCTGAAGTTAAGAGTTGAGCGTTTTATAAAACCAACTGATTTGTATGCTCGGGAGAGAGCATTTCGGATGTGGGATTGAAAGCTAAGATTGGTAGAAAATATTATACCCAGATCAACCACTTCATTCACTCTTTCCAAAGCTGTATTTCCCATGGTGTATATGTAATGGCTTGGATTCTTATGTTGACTATATGTCATGATGAAACATTTATCAATATTGAAGTATAATTTATTACGCATGGACCAATCCTGTATTCTATCTATATCGTTCTGTAATTGAAAATAATCATTGAGATCATCAATTTTCGTGAAAATTTTGAGGTCATCTGCGAAGAGTAAACACTGTGACGAAATAGTGGAAGCTAAGTCATTTACGAATAATAGAAAGAGAAGTGGTCCCAAATTTGAACCTTGGGGTATACCTGACTCCGCCATACATGATTGAGATTGTACTCCCTTAAAGGTAACATATTGCCATCTATCCTGTAAGTACGTTAGAAATAATTCAAGCAATGCATCACTCACTCCAAAGGAAATTATTTTTTTCA